AGGAATAAATTGGGAGTTCAAGATTTGCAGATAATAACTACTATATATAAAATAGATAAACAAGTTTATACTGTATAGCACAGGGGAACTATATTTGATATCTTGTAGTAACCTATGTTGAAAAAGAATATGAAAATGAATGTGTGTATGTACATGTATGACTGAACTATTATGCTGTACACCAGAAATTAACACGTTGTAACTGACTGTACTTCAATTTAAAAAAAAAATAAATTTAAATTTAAAAAAGAAGGCCAAAGGGAAGAAGACAGGAAAGAAAGGACATGTAATTTGAATGATCTTCAATTTCCTCAGCTTATAAAATGAAGGAAGTAATACCTACTTCATTAGGGTTGTTTTAAGGATGACATGAATTAATGTAGTGAAGTGTCTGGTATAGTACCTGACACCTGGTAGGCACTTAAGAATGTTAGTTCCCCCCCTGCAAATATGAATTTCATATATACCCATTATGCCCTCTGGGAGTGAAACAGTCATTGTTTTAGCAGAAATAGTTTTCCTAAAAGTAAAGAAGAGGGAAAAGAAAATGGGAGAGAAAGGACATGAAATGAAAACATAAGAAATGAAGTCCAACAAAGGTGCCTAATGCTATCTATCTGTGATAGTTTCTCCTAAGTTCTGCTTCCTCAAGGGAACAAATCAAAGTATTATTGTTTTGATGGCTTGGAAAAGAAATTTGAAATATAGAAAGTTTGTAGTAAAGCTTAAAAAAAAACTACAACACATGAAATAAGGAAAGAATGTTGGTTGCTATTCCTCATAAAGGATTCTTTCAAACAAATAAGATGTAAGAATAGAAAAATAGTCAAAGGAAATGAACAGAGAATTCTAAAAAAAAAAGCCAATATTTTAAAAAATCCAACCATATTAAGTAAAGCTATAAAAAGAGGCAATTGTTTTTATTTATAAATTTGGCAAGGATTAGAAATAATAATTATGCCTATTGTTGGATACTGGACAATAACATACCATGCTGAAAGGAATATAAGATACAGTAATTTTTAGCAATTTATATCTAAATATTTAAAACTTATCAGAAATTTCACTTCTAGGAATTTATTCTAATATTCAAATGTTTGCTAAAAATGTATATATAAGAATGTCCATTACAATGTTATTTAACTTTTTTGTTTTAGTGAAGTTACTGGGGATTGAACCCAGGACCGCGTGCATGCTAAGCATGCACTCTACCACTGACCTATGTTATTTAAATGTAGTGAAAAAGTTAGAAAGATCCTAAGTATCCAACAAGACAGAATTATGATAAGTACTATATGTTATGGTTTAGTCATGTTATAATATTATAACATGTTTTTTAAATATTGTTGAATATCTACTAAATGGAAACATGTTCACAATACCTTATTATATGAAATAAGTCTGCTACCAAACAGTGTGTAAAATATGATTTTCCTTAATAATGTCAATAGTTGTACCTCCATACTAGGATGACAGTTTATTTTTATTGTCTTCTTTGTGCTTTTCTCTATTTCCAAGTTTTCTGCCATAAGCAAGTATACATTCTCTTAGAAGTGTAATTGCTGGATGACAGGCTGTGTATATCAGTAAGATTTAGTTAATACTGCCAAACAGGTTTTCAAAGTGCTTATCCCAATTTTCACTCCCACCAGCAAGATATGGGTTCTGGTTTGGAGATGCATTTTTAATATTATGCATCCAGGAAACAGCAATTGATTTGAACCCTACTGCTTTAGAAGTTACAATAATTAGCTAAGAAGTTAGAAATAAGCACATTGGTTGTGAATGCATATGTCAATAACATAATATCAACCATTTCTAACTAGTACTTTTCATTAATTTCTCATTTTATTTATTTTTACCCTCTTTAGCTGTGTATACAATATGTGTAAGTACTGAAATTAGATTTCTTAGAAGCCAGATAAGACTTCCTCCTTTATCTTACCTCCTATAGCCCAACTTAAAAATGTAATTATGTCTTAAATTGTATACATTTCTCAAGCTATTAAATACTTAAAATATCAAAAATCCAGAATTATATGAATAAAAGAGAGCAGTATCTCATTAACGCATGCACTTGCATACATTCATCTTTCACAGAGCTTGGAAGACTGAAGTCAATATCTTAACATCTCTGTAAGGAAGCGGACAAAGGGTATCACCCTCTGTTTAACAAAAACAGAAGCTAAGGTGTA